GGGGCCTGATGCGTCTCCACTTTGCTCTCATTTAGCCCATTAAAAGGGGAGAGTGATGGACGTGGTGAGCAGAGAGAAATGCCAGACTTGGAAACCTAAAACTGACACAGAGTCGGCGAAACAGATGATTTTGTCACTTCTTGAGCAAACACTGTGAGATTGATGAGATGTTGAGACGACAGCTTGCTGGCAAAATGAAAGATGAGCTGTCCGTAGCTGCTTTTTGCATCCCGTGTGAAATCAACGTGTCTCTGATATCAGATCAAAGCAGTTTACAGAGCTGTCACAATATAACGTTTGGGCTTGTTTGCGTTGACATTTGAATTTGACCTCCAAGGTCACGTAGGCATACTTGTGTGGTGGCTTTTTACATATCATTTTTCAAACCGTTTAAATGGAAATGAAAGTGATACTTAATGAGAGGGGCTCTGATTTATTTTTTTTGGACCAAGCGTGTCTCCCTGTTTTCAGTCTTTATAATATATATCATATTTAATGCATGACTTCTAATTGACAGCAGCAAAGGACTTCAATATTCTATTGAGCATAATCAGACAAATGTTTAGAAGAATCAGAGAGAAGCGCCTCAAAGCACCAAAATAATAAAGCTATTTTCGATTCTTCCTTTTAAGGTTTCTCTATAATTCAGTTCAGAACCATTTGAGTGGTTTTGGTTAATGGACATGACAATTGAAAATAAAGATATGGGAGTTTGAACAAAGCTTGGCTGCACAGCATGGTGGTCATAAACATTACAATGCTGGGTCCCTGGGTCCGTGTTGATCCTGTTATGATGTTCATTTGGGGAATCAGATGTTATCAGCTGTTCATCTGAAGATGTCTGTCTCCCAGCAGCAGACTTTGGTTGTGTAGCTCCCAGGTGTTAGCGCAGGTTTTTTGCTGTATAAATGTGACGCATGGTGCTGCTGAAAAAAAACATGCCTGCTCAGCAAAGCACTCCCAGGACAGAGAAGAAGGGGGGGGGGGAAAGCTCAAAAAAAAACAAAAACTGGGACTCGTCAGCTCTCTGCAACGATGGGATTGATTTCACCATTAGGGCCAGAAACAGAACGTATGTTGTTAAAGTGAATTTATTATATCCCGATACGATTGATGGAGCTGTGTGAGCACTTGAACTGCTTTCCGTTTGCCTCCTATGGTATCAGAGACAGCAAGCTGTTGCTGTTTGACATCTCCCTGGATTAAAGGCATGCTCCCTGTCATATTCTGCGGTAAGGAGAAGAGCTTGTGATGGCCTGTTGATGCAGCCTGCCGTTTTGACTCAAGATCAGGGATGCTCAAGGCAGCGTGTCATGGGAGCGGTCTGCAGCAGAGCCACTGTGCTGGAACAGGAAGCTCCTCTTGTGGAAATCAAATACGGATATCCAGCGTCAGATACAGTTTCCGATCGCATCAATCTGTCATGTTTACTGGAGTTATTTACTCTCCTAGTCAACCCAATTTGTCTCATCTCCTCAGTGGCTGGCTTCCATCCCTCCCAGAACTTGTTGCTTTTAAAGGTGGGCGTTTGAGGGTATAAAGAGACAGAAAGTGTTTGAATCCATCTGTGGGTTACATGTGTAGGCGGAGAGAGAAAGAGAAAAGGCAAAACTGAAGTGGTTCAGGTGTTTTCGAGGCTATTGTGGGTGTAGTATCTCACATTTCCTCTTATGGTTTCTCGATGTTGTGGCTGCAAAGTTTCCTTCTATGCTGTGCCATCATGACGTCATACTTAAAATACGTCCCGTGCAGAAAAGTAGGCCTTAAGCTGCCGTTTCAGAGACGTCTTAAAGCGTGAATGCTCTGTTTAAGATGGCGCTTTAAAGCAGGAGCAGCATTGTGTCGCAGCGGCAGAACTAGGCCGTGTTAGGTTAGTGTCACTAGATAAGAGGAAAACTCTGTGCTGTGGAGAGTGGTCCGGTAGCCCCCCAGCTGGTACGCAGGACTCGGGCCTGTTCCCAGCCATCACGAGGTGACTGGCGCAATGTGGCTCTGTTTGTCCCTGGGGGGGGGGGGGGACAAAGGAGGGCTGTGTGTCCCCGTCCTGTCTCTGTGCTGCTCTGAAGTGATGTAAGGAGACGCACAGTCAGCATGCAGAACGTTCGGGATTTAATGGCAAAGTACTGAATGTGTCAATCATTCAGGGTGACCTGCATTTTGTAATCCACGCTAGATACATCTTAAAACCTCTCCTCTTCCATTTGATCCCACCAAGTTTAGTTTTTTTAATAAAAACCTTAAGGGTTATCTCACTTAATCACTAATTAGTGTTTCAGTTTCTCCCCAGTCTTCCCTATTATCACCTTGAAAACGTTGTAATTAATTAGCCTGAACTTCACAACAGTGTTACCTCCTTGTGTTAAATGTGTACGACTTCTATGAAAAGATCAGTGATTTTTTTAAGTAGTTTTGTCATATTAACAGATCTACAGCTTAATGTTTTATATATATACATAGGTATATATTTGTAGGTATTTCATGACCCATATTGAAGCAACCTGAAGCTAGAAACTCGCCCAAAACAAAAAACCATAACCATATTGAAAATGTCTCTACTTAAAGAAGTGAAAACCCCCTTAACATTTAGCGGGAAACATCCCTTAATTGGCTTGTTAGTCTGGACTCAAACTAAAAGTAAATGACCATTTTTGCTATATTTTTGGAGCAGTCGCCTCAGAGGCATATCAGCCCTATAAGCGGACCAAAGTCTTTGCAATTAACTCAGAAAAATCAACACTTATTAACACAGCAAAATGTGCTGTGTGTACCCGATCTCCTTAAGGGGATCATTAAAGTTTCATGAGCTGAAGTGATCATTTATAGACAGTCCCCTGTTCATATCTGGGTGGAAAACTATGTTATGTTTGAATGACGGTGTTCTCTCAGATTTCAGGTTTGTTGACACCGAAATGAGGCCGGTTGACTTCTAGCTTCTATAGCATGCAGACGGTCTAAAGTGGATGACACACGCAACTAACCGACCTGATGAGAGCATTACCTAAATCACTGTTCACCATCTGACTAAAGGGAGTCTGTGCATCACAAGAGCTGACCCAAATACTAAAGAGCTTTTATCAAGAGACCTAAACAGATGAAAAGCCGCGTGTGTCTTTTGTAGTTTTAAAGGATTATCATTTGAAGGGCTTTTACCCTACTGTAGCAGTAAAAGATTGATACATGATAGTCTCTGTAGTGTTTAATGTTAATCAGTGTCCCAGTAAACCAACATCTAAACATTTAGACCCTGGGTTTAACATAGGAAAATTGTTTTGCTATAATACAATGACCAGAATTCGATTATATGACAGCTAGCCTTATCTTAAGATAATTGTATTCCCTATTTTACCCCGAGTTGTTATTCAAAATGGCCTTTCTTTGTATGGTAGTGTATTGGTTTGTCAGTAAGTAAGCGAGAAATTGATGTTTAATCTCAAAAAGATAGAAAATTAACCAAAGTGTACTTTTTAAAATCCACTGCGTGTTTTAACAGAATGATCTGTTCAGTTAAAACTGACACATGTAAACAGATATTTTCAGCACTTCAGTCTTTTTTTTGTGGGAACATGGAGCATGAGGAGAAACATTAGGTGTGAGATTTCTGCAGGATTTCCATCAGGACTTTGCGAATGCTGCTCACACACATTTAATTTGCCCTTTTGTTGAAGTGCACTCCATCCGACAACATATATATATGTTGTCGTCAAAATAACTCAGGAGGGGATGTTCAATAACTTCACAGGCAATGATGCCAACAGCCTGTCCCGTGCATCGGTTGATGCTCTTCCTGTCATGGTTGATATGCCTGGATGTTTTCTCTTGTCGCAGCGATTATTTTTATTATTATTTTGTTTGAAAAACTGCATATTTGTCCTCACAGCAACTTGTGGTACTGTCCTTATACATTGCTGAGAAACTGCTAAACAGTTTGTCATTGGCACACTGAATACATCTATATATTCAAGTCTCAAAGACTTTAATTGTCGTATGCACAACAGCTACTACATCGTGATTGAATACGTAAATAATCTGCGCTGACATCGCCCAGATAGATTTTCCCAATGGAATTCGTTTTTTTTATTTGTCTCCCACTTTAGCTCTCTTCTCTTTCACATACAAACGTATCCACCCACACAACACACACGTGTACTCAAACATGCCTTTTTCTTTTTCACTCTCTTGTTACTGTTACTGCTGCTGCTGCTCATCATTTGGTTTCTATTTGTTAGAATCTAGTCTTCACTTGTGTTGTTCTGTCTCATACATTTTAGTAGTTTGTTTAGGCACTTTTATTGCACTATAAAAACTCTGAATACTGTGGATTTTGACATCACGTTTTACATAATTACATATAAAATCCAATTTATTTTTCAAGTTTACAAAATCTAATAATGTTCTTTGTTAATATATATCCGTCACACGGGACATCAGATTAAATTATGAGTAGTGATACTTTTAAAATATACTATACAAATGGATGTATCTGATACTAGGGTGATCTGATGACTTGAGTGTCTTCACATTATGGTATTGGCACTTTTACTTAATGAAATGATCAAACACTTCCTCCTCTAGTGGTTAAATGCAAGGCTTTCATTTATTTTTGTTGAGACTACAGGTGTGAAAGTGACCTTAAAACTACCGTCGACACACAACCCTGTTTACTGTGTCACATCGATCTCTTCAGACCTTTCACTTTCTCCGAGTGCTTTCCCTCGATATCTTCAAAACAAGTTTTCTAGCGAAGCTGTGTGGTTTTTTATATTTAGACGTTGTTCACAGACAGAGAAACCCCCCGGGTCTCCGTGATGACACCAGCTGTGATTCCTCGAAGATTTATGAAGCAGCTGGGAAGCCTCGGAGTTATGTAACAGAATACAATGAGGGGACTGCCAAAACGACCAGCTATCCCACCACAAACATCTGCTCTACTGGCAAACCTTTGAGCAAGGCATTGGATCCCTACCAGCTCCTAAGGCTTTGAATAAGTAGGGCATACTTTAGAGTGGTGGTGTTTGGGTTGGATTATTGCCAAAAGGACACTCATGGCCACATTTAATGCATATTCTCACATAGATCCATTGTGTCTGTGCCTTATTGATTTTGGACACTGTACAAACTAATAATACGAGTTAAAATGATATTTTTTTTTTCTTAAATCATCAGGACATTTTGGTTTTTTAGGAAGCCACAACATCTGATTCACTTTAACCTTCAGTACAAATGCTCATTCTTAAACTCCCATGGAAAAATTGCGTTTGTAATGGTGGCAAAAAGATCAAATGTGTCGTGCATTTGATTTTAACCGCCGTTAAAGGTCATGTTTAAAAAGACTTTGACAGTTGCATATTTACTGCTTACCCTATAAGGGAGGCTGTGGCTCAGTGGGTAGAGTGCTAGACTTCAAATCAGGGGATAGCAAGTTCGATCCCCACTGCAGTCAGCATGCCGTTGTGTCCCTGGGACACTTCACCCCAAATTGCTCCTGTGGGGATCGTCCACAGTACTGAATGTATGTAAGTCGCTTTGGATAAAAGCGTCTAACAAATGTCATGTCATGTAATATGCACCAACAATGTCAGTTTTTTTTTTAGATGATTGTATCTTTTCCCCTCATCTCCCTTTATATAAAACCCAAGTTGCACAATAATAATGCCCTGATAATGTACCATTGTTTCCAACTTGAGTTTTTTGCAAATTGAAAAAATGCACTTAAGGAATGCACTTCCATTGTTTCTGTTTTTTTCATCATGTTTTTGTGTGTAGCATAATGGACTGAGCTTAAACTGAATTGCATTGTGCAGAATGACGATAATGTATGCGTTCATGCTAAGGGAGTCGTCTTGCTGGAGGGCAACATGTATTCAGTATTAAGAAAACTTGTGTATATAACATGTGTACATGAATGCATCATATAAATGTCCAGGCAACATCTTGTGAGAACACTGTGCTCTTTTATGTATGAGATATAGCAGATTATACACATCAGTAAATAACTAAGGCCACTCAACAAGAGAGCAAGTTTTAATGATCTGATGCTAAGCTACATTATTAGTAAGAAGTCTCTCTGTTGGTCACAATAAAAAGTGCCGTTGACATTTATATTTGATCATTTTTCTGCTCAATCCTCGAATTCTTCAAATGTGTGTAATTACATTATCTGAACTGAAGGCCATTAAAAGGTCCCGGACACAGGTTTTAAATCTTAAACCCCCTTTAACAGTCTCTCAGCGTCGGTGAGAAAACCCGCCATGTCATTCAGGATAAACACAAAATGGGTTTTAGGTTTAATTCTAACTGGCATCAAATAGGGCTTATAAGGAGGCTTAAATGGCCGTGTCATGGTGAGTGTCGGGTAATAATCACCGTCGTGAATGTCTTCCTGCAGGAGCTTCAGTTTGAGCGGCTGACTCGAGAGCTGGAGGAGGAGCGGCAGATTGTGGCCAGCCAGCTGGAGAGGTGCATGCTGGGAGCTGAGTCGCCAGCGGGAGACAGCAGCAGGTAAGCATGAAGCTCACGTGTCGTGCATTGAATCACAAATCATGTATGTTATTTTCCAGCAAAATATGAATAAAATACACTCAGAAATATTCTATTTATTCCAGCATATAGCACCAAGTTGTTTGAATTAACACCACATAGTATCATACAGTTAATAAAAACATGATTTCGGATTAAAATTGAGTATTTGTATGTCATATGTTTTAAGTTATTGAGCCCTCACATTGTGTAAACATCACATTGAAACACAACTACAATACCTAGTGTGCATAAATAGGAACTATTTTATTCGATTTTAACCCTTAAAAATACTTTTGTAAGATTCAAAATTGTTTGCCATTGTTCCAGATTGTCACATAACCTTTTATTGTGGTCATACTCTTTTATATAATTGTATTACTTAACATAATGATTGTTTTTCAGCTGCAGGTGTTATACATATATCAAAATGCATGTGAGGTTATTAATATATAACATGTCCGATCCCCAGCTGGGGTCAACTCCCTTCCATTTGTATATCAATTTGAGGGTGAATTGAATTCGACACAATACAGACAGAGTCTTCATATTCATTTCACATTGAAATGTTTGCGAGGCAAGAGATTCCTTCGATAGACAGATTTCCTTTTTACATTTGAAACCTTTTTTTACCTCCTCCTAGACTGATTGAATGTAAAGTGTTCGGCCATGACTCTGATTTGATTTGCGTCACTCTGCTTCCTCCTCTCTTCCTCTCTCCTGCCTGAAGCTCGTCCGAGAAGTCGTTTGCATGGAGATCTGCAGGGTATGAGTTTCACTTTTAACCTTTAAAGATATTCGAAAGCTATTTCTAAGATGATACGGTTGACAGAAGAGATGACCACTTCAGGCTTTCAATAAACCACGAGGAATAAGATAAAGATTATACGGCTTCAAATAAGATGGGTTCCATATGATGTTGGCTGTAAGGAAAGCATTTTTCCAGATGCAGAAAAGACAATTAGCCTCAAAAGGAAGAAGGCCAGTGAAGCAAAACAATGTTTCCGCCAGAATATATGAGCTTTGAAATGGACCCATTTACTATTCTGTCACAGATCCCTCTCCTCTGTTTCCTCGGGGCCATTCCTCACTGTCGTCCTTTCCAATAAAAACAAAAGCGCTTTTATAAAATTGCTGTGTTATTTGGTGACAAAGAATCAGTACTTTTAATGTTTTTTGGGTTCTGTCTGCAAAGGTGAAAGACTTTTGCCTGTGCTATTTTGTTAGGAAATGTCATCCTTTTTTCAGTCTGAATTAGCTTAGAAACGTTGTTAGAAAGTCTACCCAGGACTTGCTGTCTGTTTTTGGACTAATGGCAAGATGCTTTCACAGGTGGAGAGTTGCAGGGTGGAGTGATGGAGGGCGTCTGGGTGTCCTGGGCGTCAGCTGGAGTGTGGAGGAGGGTCTCTTCATGCCTGAGCCTGACCGCGCCTCGCTGCATGCCAGTGAGGGATCTGTTAATGTACACACCACATAGTCTGAAACACATTTAAAGCAGGGGTTAGGATGTGTGGAAGCATATGACACCCTCTGTCCTAGCAAAATCCCCCCCAACAATACCACAATCAACTGGAAAAATACAAGAAACTTTGGGGAGAGCAACAAAGGAGAAGACTTTGAATATTGCAATTGAAGTTGTGTGTGTTTTAAAAATGTATATCCCATCAGCCGACAGACATGCAATACTATGTATAGATTAAGAAAAGATGACAAAATAACAACACAGACAATCACATTAAAACATATATAGTTTGATATAACATTTTATATTGTAAAAAATATCTGAAGCCATTTTAAAGCAGTTATTCAGCTTATCAATCCAATCCAACTTATTTATATATCATGTACATGTACATCATATAAAAAGCTACATAAATACATTTAGAGAAAACCGATAGGACAAAAAAATAATGTAAAAACACGAAACAATAAAACCATACTGATAGCCATAGACTGAAACATCTGTTTGTCTCACTCCTCGCGGTTTCATCCTTATTTGAAAGCGTGTTGCCAGAAGAGCTTCTCATATTTTCACACCTGGGCGTGTCGCTGTCGGACAATTTCTCCACTGGAGCGGGGACACTTCGGTCCGTCAGGGCTTCCTCACAGCTTTTGTTAAACCAGGAAAAGAAAGGAAGCGTTGATGCAGTCAGAGCAGCTGTGGCAGTTTTATGTTGCCTGTTTTATCTTCTCTGAAGAACAAAAAGAAACAACTTTAAATACGATCATCAAATAGTCAAAACTCACCACCACCTGTTTTGCTTTCAGTAAAGCCTGAAGCAAATCCTTTTAAACAAACATTTTTCAACCTCCTTTTATATTAGAATAAATGAAAAATATCATCAGTCAACACTTCACCATTTGGATACTTAATTTATCCCTGGGAGAAATGAGTTGTGTAACAGTTGCTCCATTTAAGAATCAAATTTAAATAAAAAAGAATAAATTGAATAAAATACAATAAAACAAATACAAAAATAATTAAAAATAATAATATCAAAATGTTCACATTCAATAAAATAAATATGTAAAAATGTGTATATTACAAAATTATACAGTGGCGTATTTATATTAAATAAAGATACTAATAGCAAAAAAACATATTATTACTTGAATATTCTAGTGTAATGCAGGAATTATCCTTTTTCTTTGGTCTTATTTATATTCCACGCAGTCGAAGTGGTCTGTTAGTGTGAGCACATCCCTGTTCTTTATCCAGGCAGAGAAAGTAGGCCAGCGTTTACTGAAAGCGATATGCAGATTGTTCCAGGGCCAGCAGAAAGGCGTGATGCAGATATGCATGTGCACGTATTTACAGTATATGCATAATGCCTTTTAACAAGTTCAAAAGCCATGTGAGATAATATGCAAATCAAGAGGCTGGTATAGACTGCTGAGGGTTTGATTGCCCCTGGAAGTGCTGCGATAACAACGCAGTGTTTCTCCACCCCCTGATCTCCCTCCTTCTCTCAGGCTCAGGGGGTCACTCGGCGCAGATGACCTCGTATTCAGGACAGCGGTTACCAGGACAGCGAGCGGAGTTACTACAACGCAACCAGAACGTGGTGCGCTCGGAGCCCCGCGCCTCGCTGTCCAGGAGTCCGAGGGCCGAGGGTCAAGCCTCTGGGCAGGTGGGGTCGCATCTACCACGAGTCATTCTAATGTTGCTCTAAAAGCTGAGGTTCAAAGGTTATACCTAACCTTGGAAGGCTGTTGAGATAACAATTTCCCCACAAGATGATTTAGACTTCAATTCAAGATTCCAAGGTTTTATTCTCATAAGCATAATAGTTCAATTATTGGCAAGGACATTTAAAAACCCAGGCTCCTCTAACATACAATACACTTATATAATATAAATACTGGTTGATTAATAAAATAGCTGTTTGGAGCTTGAAATGTTGATCGCTTTGGAATAACATGGGCTGAAAAGTCCTTATAATCAACCAAAATATGTTCATTTCAACATTTGCCACTACCATTTGTTCTGGAAAGACCCGTGTGCTGAAGCTCGCAGTACAGATACTTACTGCATGTTTATTTCTCGCATATTTCAGACTGCTGTCATCTGAAATATTGAATAAGATCCCTATCCCTACAACAATGGTTGCTAGTAAGGGCTCGATAATTACTCTTAGTAGCTTTATGGATCTTTCAAATCATTAATAAATGTATTAATGTTGGACTGAAATCTAAGGTGGAAATAAACAGTCCGGGTCAATGCTGATGAAGAATAAAGGACTAAAAACAGTCGCTTAATTAATCCTTGCAGCAAATGAAAAATAATGTTGTACTTCTTGCATGTTTCAGTCACTTCAAATGGAGTGTGCTCTTTTGCTGTGAATACTATTATTCTTCCCTAAAGCAATGGCTGCTCATAATAAGAACAATAGCTAAAGCCTTCAAATCATAACGAGTCGTACCTTTAAGACTGCGTCCCATTATCCTCTCTAATAATGCATGACAGTAGCAGCAGGAATGACAGACCATTTGAATTTTCTCTCTGATTTATTCCTCACTGGATGGGCTTACATGTCTCGGCTCTTAATTTCCCTTCGAGGCGTCGGTGCTTTGATGGATTAAGGCGCCACAGATCGGCATCCAGTTGCCTCCGTCTGTTATTGAGGGACATTTTACACTTGGTAATAGCAGGGAAAAAGTAGATTTGTGTTAGCATACATGTGAAATATACTGTCAAATCTTCCCAAGAATGTAATATATTTACTGGCAGAACTCAGCATACAGTATAATGAATGAACATTAAAACAAAAGCACACACGATCACTTACTTGTGACAAATAAAAAGGATAATGATGCCCTTCATCAGTTAGCATCCTGCCGCTAAGTGTCACATTACAGCACATTTGCAGTGGCAGTTGCAGAGCCTCATTCAAATTCAGAAAACATATGCTTAAGTGATTAGTTTTCAACAGTGTGGATATTATACTTGACCTTTTTTGTTGTTTTGGGCCCTGTAGAGTCAATCGTAATACAACACATTTGCTAAAATGTAATTTGATAAATGACCTTGAAGAATCTACATTAACTTTAATCTGTGGTTAGCTTTGCATAACTGCCAAAGAAACATGATTATGCAGGATGCAAAAAACAGCATTCAGTTAGAGAAGTTGTTGTTGCCTAGAAGATATATTATGCTTTGATTATGTTTTGATTATGTATCCAATAATAACATTATATTTTGCAAATTTTTATATATTTTACACATATTTTATTTATTTATTTTCTAGTTTTGTTCTGTAAGATTACATTCCTTTTATCATCGATTTTCCTTTTGTTTTCTGCACTGTCATAATAGTGGGTCTTAAAGAATTTTACAGGGCTTGACATTTTATGCTTAATCGAGTGCATGCATAATTGAACGGTATTTACTCCTAGAGCATAATGACCTGTTAAAATAAAAGGGCTTCAATAAAAGCAAATGCCTGCTTACACAATATGACATTTAGAATATTCAGCTGGACAAAATACATGTACTCAAGTACTTCTTCCCCCTCTGATCATCTTCCATCCTCCCTCAGGTGTCGGGCAGGGTCTTACGGAGGATGACGTCCCTCCCCTCCAGGAGCCAGTCTCCCGGAGGGGGCACCGTTTCCCCCTCCCGGATCTCCCTGCGGACCTCCCAGGGCAGCACCTACGACTCCCCCATCCTCTCGGAGCCCAAACCTCTGGCGGCCGTGTTCCTCGGGACCTCCATGCCGCCCTCCTGCCCCTCACCCTCCTCCCCAACCGACGCCACCCAGGCCCTGGGGGGAGTGGTGCTGGGGGTAGGTGGGGGGGGTCGCCTGGGCTCCACCCTGTCCCTGGTGGAGGGGAGGTGTCTGACGGGGTCCCCTCTGAGGTCGGGGATGACGGCGGTGCCGCAGCACTACGGATCAACGCTGCCCCGGCAGAGCCAGCCGCTGGGCTATGGGGCAGGGGACCCCTACGGCCTGTTCCAGAGGGGGGGGCTGCCACGGCCCGACAGCCTCATTGGTCAGTACCACGCACAGGTTAAAGTTCATAGGGCTTTATTTTCATATGCACAGCTACAGAGTAGATATGCAATACAAAACCAAAGTCCCAGGCTAGAAGGGGCCGCCGTATAGCTCACCTGGTCCCATGGAACCAACCTGGAACCATGTATCCACACCTGGGTCTGGAATGTATCACTTGTGACTTCACTGATGACAAATGTCTGACATTTTTACAAGGTGATAATTGTCTTTATTCATAAAGAGGGGTAGTCTACAGTAACAACAGTATCATTTACGAATTTCCCAAAACATTTAGATTTCTAGGAAAATATTAAAAGCAAAAAAATAGTGGCAATGACTGTAACATTAATAACAAAATAAGATCTCATTTGAATTATTATTATAATTATGTTATTATTCCAAATATTACATTTTTTTCTTTCATCCTATTAAACATGTTGGGAATGTCTGCTCTACAGTCTAACAAGAAGCTCAGGTTATATTTTACATTGTTTATCTATCTATCTATCTATCTATCTATCTCTCTCTATCTATCTATCTCTCTCTATCTATCTATCTATCTATCTATCTATCTCTCTCTCTCTCTCTCTCTCTCTCTCTCTCTCTCTCTCTCTCTCTCTCTCTCTCTCTCTCTCTCTCTCTCTCTCTCACAAAGTCAGTTGTATAAGTGCTTGATTTAACACAGCAACATTTCATGGTAAGGATACCATGAAATTTACTTCCAGTGATTTTCCCTCCCAGCAGGACATTAAATGATACGACGTGATAAAACCTTACAGCCACATTAAACAAGAGGGAATATGAAGCATTGTTGTGCTTCTGAGGGAACTCTGGGATCTTTACAGCCTTCGTCCTTCAGTGTTGGTCTTTGTGATGGTGGTTTGATATCGCGTCTACACAGACACGCAGGACTAATGAAGCATATGGAGTGGAAGGTGTATTGTTTTCTTATTGCCCTCTGTTCAGTGTTCTGGTTACTTTTGCATTACCTCAGTATCAAATACAATGCAAATAAAAATGATAAAATGAATGTTTTTTAGTGTATGTAACAATATATCATTAGAAAAGAAGAAACCAACATATTTATTATAAAAAATGTAAGAGTCCACTGCATTAACAAATACATGTATTTAAAAGAAAGAATAATTTAAGAGAGAACATTCATTCAATATGTCTACCAATAATATATCAATCTTTATTTCAGAATGTACTGTAATCCTGCTAGTAATCTCTATTTTCGAATACGGTATACAGTTCCGTTTTTTTTGTATCCTAATTACTCCCCAAGCCTGAATAAATGTTTTCAGCAGCTCTTGTAAATACACAACGCCACACTCCACCACGATTTAATAACCTGCCGTTTGTTGCTATAAATGCAAACATAAGCTAAATTATCGGGTGCAATACTATGTTTATTCACCCAATATGATATGTTCAATCAGTGCAGTGTATACAACATGTACAGGGTTTCCCACACATAGACTATACTTGGGCGGGCCGCCCAGGTATATTAACGGCCGCCCAAGTATATTTCGCGACCCATTTTTTTTTTTTTAATAATTTTTTTTTGTATTTTTTTTTTTGTATTCGTCCGTGACCACGACGCCATCTGCGATCGATTAACTTGTGGACAATGATCCCTCGCTCCCTTGCTCTGATCTCGCCTCGTTACGTGGCCTGCCTCACACAGGGTGACTGGCTGTCTACATGATGTGGCCTGCCAACATGGCCACTGTCATAGAGATCATAAATCAAAGCCCTTGATTGGTCTCTGTGTGTCATTCAAGCTCGGGATAACCTCAGCTCAGGTGAGGTAAAGGACTCTGAGTGTTTAGATAGTTAACTTAGTTTAAGTTCTCAGTGGGTCTCAAACAGTGTGGTCACCATTTATGTAAACACATATTTCCATTTGAGAGGGTAGTGATTGAGCTAATGGATAGTGAGGTGGGCTGAAGATCGGAAGGCTGTGAGTTCAAATCCCGCCAGGAACACCACCACTAGTGTGCCCTTGAGTGCCATCTTTACGCAAAATGATTATACAAAATGATTATACAAAATGAAAACTTTTTTTTTTTTTGCGCACCCCCCCCCCCCCCCCCGCCCGCTGCCACCACCCGCCCAAGTATATTTCAGATCTGTGGGAAACACTGATGTATATCATTGTTAAAGGGCAGTTAGTGTCAGTGTTGGGTGTAACGCGTTACAAAAGTAACGGAGTTACAGTAATATATAACTTGTTGCTGTAACGAAGTAACGCATTTCTTAGGAGATGCACAGTAACGCAGTTGCAACACATTTCAATCCGAAATTAAATGGTGTTTTGTTTTTTAAGAATGTACTAACATAGCGACTAGCGAGACATTCCGACACCAGACAAATTGTGCGGGTAGATTAGTAAACCTGGTGTGTTTAACCTTCAGGCTTCGCGTCGGGATCTTCGGGGCAGTTGCATGTTATGCACCCTCTATTCAAAAAAGAGAACGGAGTGACAAATACAAACACAATTGTGTCAGGTGCGCGTGACCTGCTCCGCTGCACGTGCATCCTTTCCAAAGTGCTTCCACAGCAGTGACACACATCTGTGGATAATCATTTATACGAAAATGGTTAAAGCAACCATCACTAAAACGCCAGCAACACTGCATCTACTGCAGACAGTAGCAACAGGTCAGATGGGGACATCACGTTACCCTCCGTTGTGGACACTAGCTTACTCCCGCCTGACTTGCCGCCCTCGCCCCCGGAGCAGCAGTCTTCGTCTCCCGAAACTCCGCCGCCCCTCTGCGGCCCGCAGATTCCGGCAAAACAGAGCCTGCCCAGGTATATCTAAACAAGTACCCGCCTGTACAGTGGGGTTAGGCGGTCATTTTGCAGCTCGTGGTATACAAATAGACAAGGGCTAGAATATTCATGTGAACATAGTGCCATATTCTGCCATGCCTGTAGAAATGTTGGGTCAAAAATAATGCATACAATAGCACAGCTGCCTTCACCACGAATGGCTACAAAAATATCTCAAATCCCAAGTTTATCAAGAGCTAATGTTGCAGCTGAAATGTTCTCCAGGTCACAAAGTCAACCTCACATGATGATGTGATCCAGTTTTCAAGCACAGTAAATATTCTCTTCCCAGAGTATATGATGGGACCAAGGTGATGATGTAGTACATGGTTTTAATAATACTTTTGCTTTTCAATGTTTGCCATTTCAAACCATGAGCTGGTTCAAATCATATTTGCATTGATTTGATTTACAATATCTTCTCATTTGTTTTATCAGTACAGTTTTGAAGCTGTTGTGCTTTTCTTTGCCACAGTCCACTTTGGACTATATGAAGTATTTCAGGATTGCACTTTTAACTCACTTGAAATGTTCTGACTTGCTTGGTTTCAAAACATAACAAAGGCCATAATCTGTTCATTGGGACCATCAATGCTATTTTTCATTGCTGTTGCCGGCCACTATTGTTCATGTAAACCTACTACTGCTGCACCCCCTGTAACCTCAGAGGCACCTGAGTCATTTTGTTCTGGAGCCGGGCCTGTACATGGCCATATACTAAACACACTACAGAACCCATTCCGTGTCCTGTTAGTGTTTACTTCCTGTCCTGTCTGATTTATCTGACGTCCAGCGCTCCGTCTTTTAACCTCTTTCCCTTTCTCTTTCTTGATCCTCCTTAGCAACCTTCATTATAGTCCTTGACAGTGGTCTGTACTGCTGGATTAACAGCGTGTCACATGTTAAGAAGTTACAATCAGAATCCAGTATTCAACCGTGTTAGTTGAATACTGCTTATTTTGTTAGTTGTTAGTAGCCTTAAGGGCCTACACAGTTGTTATGCTATACCACATCGCCCTTCACTGGATGTATAATGAGCTGCACTAAACTACATTTCAGCATTAAAATACCTAGCCATTCTTTTGAGGTTATTTTGGTGAAAGTAACTCAAAAGTAACTACAAAGTAGTGTAACTCATTACATTTCAGAGACAGTAATATTGTAATGTAACTTATTACTTTCAAAAGAGAGTAATAAGTAATATGTAATATATTACATTTTGGAAGTAACTTGCTTAGTGTTAATAAAAAGTCATGTTGTACCGGAGGAAGGACATGGCATTGTAATGTGTGGCTTTCTATGTAATAATTACTAGAGAATACCTCATTATTATTGAGAAGAAAAACTCATTATGTAAGACACAAACATCATAATGACAAAGACCTCATTATTACAAGATAAAAGGTGGTGCACTGTGTCATAAGGGTTTAAGATTGCAGCTATGTTGCCAGTAAACAAGGCAAGGCAAGGCAAGGCAAGTTTATTTATATAGCACTTTTCAACACAAGGCAATTCAAAGTGCTTTACAAAAAATGAAAGAGATTAAGAAAATGGCATTTAAAATCAGTCATTAAAAAGAAAAGATAATAAAATAAAATAAACATTAAAATAAAAAATACATGGATAAAAGTTACAGTGCAGTCTAAGATATGAATAGTTCAATTAAAAGCAGCGACAAAAAGAAAAGTCTTCAGCCTGGATTTAAAAGTAGTAAGAGTTGCAGCGGACCTGCAGGTTTCTGGGAGTTTGTTCCAGATATTTGGAGCATAATAACTGAACACTGCTTTACCATGTTTAGTTCTGAGTCTGGGGACAGAAAGCTGACCAGTCCCTGAAGACCTGAGAGATCTGGATGGTTCATCATTTAGCAGGAGGTCAGAAATGTATTTTGGGCCTAAACCATTCAGTGCTTTATAAACCAGCAGCAGTATTTTGAAATCTATTCTTTACACACAGGAAGCCAGTGTAAAGACTTCAGAACTGGAGTGATGTGATCCACTTTCTTAGTGTTAGTGAGGACTCGAGCAGCGGCGTTCTGAATCAGCTGCAGCTTTCTAATAGATTTTCTAGTGAGACCTGTGAAGACACCATTGCAGTAGTCGAGTCTACTGAAGATAAAAGCATGGACAAGTTTTTCCAAATCCTGCTGTGACATTAGTCTTTTAATCCTAGATATGTTCTTTAGGTGATAGTAGGCTGATTTAGTAACTGTTTTAATGTGACTGTTGAAACTCAGGTCAGAGTCCATGACTACACCTAGATTTCTGGCTTTATCTGTTGTTTTGAACATTGCACACTGAAGCTCAGCGCTAACTTTTATACGTTCTGACTTGGCTCCAAAAATCATTACCTCAGTTTTATCTTTGTTTAATTGGAGAAAGTTCTGACACATCCAGTCATTGATTTGTTCAATGCACTTACTCAGTGTTTGAATTGGAGCATATGACAAGACAACATTTAATATACTTTATTCTGATTTTTCCACATTGTATTCAGAGGGTTACACATTTATATAGCTTATCTTATTTATTTTCTGAATATAATACCACACAATTTCTTCCTTTAAGTTATTATTTTAGTTAATCCATCCATAATTAAAAATGTCAAATGTTCTGGTTTAAGGATATACTATTTATGAAGTACAGCACACATGCTCGCATAGTGAGCTGAGAAACTTGCACAGGATTATTTCTGTTCATTGAGTCAGTTACAAACACATACGGAGCGAATTACAAACCAAAACTATTTATATTCATCATTTTCCCGAGGAAGGCATGACCTTTCTCCTGCAAAGCAACGTCAGAGACATAAAACTCTATCGGGGCAACTCCCCCCCCCCCCGACACTTTGCTGTGTAGCCGCTGGAGGATTTACTTTTTTGTTGTTGTTGAAAAAGCGCTGCTGATGCTGCAGCAGATTTATTCCTGCATCCTGCCCACTGTCACTTTCTTAAGCCGCTCCCACTGACCCATATAGGGGTGTTTCCATCACAAAGCCCCTGTGCAGCATCAGCATGTGATTATCAGCTGACTGCTTTATGTTTTAATTTAGTCCATTTTCATATGATGATGATGATGATGAGTGTGTGTGGACATCATTGATGTGTAGAGGCCCTACTCTGTGTGTGATGGATGGTTGTGTGTGGGAGGCAGAGTCAGTGAACTGAATACAATGCCTCCCATTCTCCCGTGAGTGCTTTTCATCCTGCCGCGCTGCTAAGTGGCCTAATATGTCGCCTAAATCCTTATTCCCAGTTATCCTGCAGATCCAACATAATCCCAGATTACAGCAGGGAGATAAGCAAAAAATGGATTTACAAGATTAGGCTATTACTGATCACTCGTAGCTTAGGTAGTGAAACCTGGTGAGAAACAACGTCAGCTGTGACATGATCTTTTTTCTTCTTCTGTGAAATCGGTGGTTTTCATGTATGAGGCAGGGAAGATATTACATTGATGTTGTGTAGTAGTGCAATGCATCTCAGGGGGGTGTGGAGGAATTGTGTATAGTTTAACATAAACAAAACAAAATATGATGTAAATTTGCTTTGAAAATATATATATTTTTTAATGTATTGAGAGTTGTAACAGCTGTGCATAAAAAAACAGCAAGCAAGGACACATTTTAAACTAAAAGTAATGTAAAAACTGTTAGAAACGAGTGACTAAATACACTCTTAAAATTGTAAGCAAAAAGTAATAATTCAAATATTCCTCTTATAATAATGAAGTTCGCTAATAGTGGTGGATAAATGGTTAAAACGTCCTCTATTCAAAGCTAATAATATCTGTAAAAACATCTTCTTTTATATTTAATAGTGTTAACATCCAGTTTGTATTAAATCAAGAGAAGGTTGTGAACCTCTGTAGTCGAGGAATATTTCTATTCAAACCTTTCCCACTCGATTCATAATCCATCTTTTCAGGGTTTTAGTTTCTTACGCCTCCTCTAAACTGAAGGTCATATTTTCGTATCACCCGCTGGTGAAAACCCTTCAGAAAGAAATAGGCCGAGGTCCAGATTCAACAAGATGTGTCACAACCAGTTCACTCTTTATTTCCCTTTTAAAGGAATGTGCTTTGCAATAAGACCAGTTTCCTGCTGCAGAAGCAAATAGCTGTTCATCAGTAGCTCTAAGTGCACATTGTGACCCCCCCCCCCCCTCGTGCCCTAAAGCCTCTTTGTAATTGGAGCGCTCTTTGAAGTGATCCACTCAGAGATTGGAGGATGGAGAAACCCTCTGCTCCGCTTGTTTGACTTGCTGATGACGCCTGCGTTCGCTTTAGAAGCACAGCAGCAGTCGGGATGAGTTATGAAATACAATCTCCATCTGCATGGCCTCACCTAGCGCCGAGTAATGAGGCGTCACATGACTTTTGTATGACAGGCAGGAAGAGGTTTTGTTCCGTTGCTGCTGATATTACGCAGCTTTTTCTCCTTTTGCTGTAAGTGAAGTATTTGATCATTCCAGCAAATACTTAACATTTATTTTAACTGTTAACAATAGCTTCTGATCAGTCTCTATATATTGGCCTGAGACAGACCATTTGTGTTTGTTTTTTGAGAGGAAGAACAAGCAGAGACTTGATATTCTAGTCTTTGATATTAGTTTGTTCTGATCTTATTCATGTTTGCAGCATACAGTAAAGTGTTGTGTCCTTTCATTTACTGTAGATTGGAGTTATAAAATACTCTTCTTGCACTATATTTTTTATTTCTATTAACTTTCACATCTCAATACATTCTCTTGCACTATTTTATCTGTTTAATTTGTTTACGTCCTATGTATTCATGTTGCATTGTTGGAGGAGCCTGTGACTTCAGTTTTTCATCTACACTGTAGCTACTGTGCACATGACAATAAAACCTTGCATCTTAAAATAAAGTTTGACCTTTTGACCTTTGACCCTACAGGGCTCCACAGCTCGTACGTGGGTCACGCAGGGCAGATAGATCCGGAGCTGAGGGCGGCGTTATCTCCGGATTGCCACATGACGCCCGTTTTTGATGAGCGCTCCTTCCACAGCCCCCTGTACCACAGCCCCTCCCACGACCCCTCCCTCTACAGGGTCAACACAGGTACTGCAGCACTACAGAGAGATGCAGTGATTACGTATTTGTGTAGGCTGACTTGGAAGCTAGCATCGCAAGGGCTCCCTCGACATAGAGCATTTTGTGTGTATACTATAACAGGGGGTTAGTGTAAGAGATCAGACATTTAAACAAAAAATTATTAGATTAGATATGATTTTTGAAATTGGCTTTCATACTTTCCAGCACTATCTTGGTCTAATAGTAGCCAAAAAAACTTGATTTTATGAGTATAAGCTATCCTTACAGTAGTAAAACTATCAAATACAAACAGAAGTTGAGCAGCAGTTGTGATGATGACATTAATGCTCACTAATCCTCCAAATAACTCACTATCAAAACTTTAAACAACGCATTTTCACATCAGCGTCCCCCTCAGGTGCCCCGGTCCCCAGGTTGAGAAACCCGGCTAACTTTCATATCTGCTCTGAAGATTATCCCTCTAAAAATCAGCGAGTGAAATCTGGGTCTGCCGGCACAGGAACTGTTGTTGTTATGGCTCCCCGAGGTCACAACTTAATTATGCAGAAAGCTTTCATGTGCTTCTTAATTGAAGCCTTTGCAGAGTGATTCAAAGCGGAAAGCTCTGCGGAGTTTCGATAGTGGAGGATCTAAGGAGCCATTTTAGTTTCGTTTAGCTGAGATTTAAACCTGTGAGGATGCTTTCAAACGCCTCTTTTAGGCTCTTATGTAACTCATATGTGACCTTGGATGCATTTTGCTCTCGATAGCAAACTGCATACTATCTAAATGCTGCTATTTTGAACTCAGAGAAATCACAACCTGTGTAAAATGTGTTTCAAATCCAGCTCTGTTTCTCCCCTCAGGTTTGGCGACCCTCCCCCGGGCCTCGAGCCACTGCGGCACGCTGCCGTTCCAAAGAAGCAGCTTCGGGCTGAGCACCTCCGCTCTGTACGTGGACCCCTACCGGGAGCCCATCTTCTCCCACCGCCACTCTGGGCTCATTGAGCGGGGGGCCACGCGCACCCCCTCCCTCGAGAGCATCCATAAGGACCCCAGGTACTCACTTCAGAAGAGTCACAGTATGCATTTTAAGACCATCATAGTATCAGATTTTAAAGTCATTTAAACTTTTAAAAGTAAATTAAAAACCAATCTTTTTAATTTAAATTTTTTTGTAGTATCACTTCATTTGTTATTGTCATTTTCTGTCATACTCTGTAAAGCTCTTTGGGCTGCGTCAAGCATGAAAGGTGCTATATAAAGTTTATTATTATTATGACAATAAATAAATAAATAGTTATGTAAAATGTATTCTTAACTTTGGTTACATATCCATGTTTTTACAAAAATGTATTGTCATTCAAATACATTTGAACCAGGTCTAATATCTACAAACACAATATCATCATGTGTGCATTATTAACACATCATTTATTTATTTTTTTGACTTTTTTGTCATCCATGTTTTTGAAAAAATGCATTATTATTTACATAAGTTTTTTCATAAGAGTTGTTTGCTTATTTAGTGATTACATTTCAAATGAAATAGTAACTTCTTCGTCCCAATGTATTTAGTTCAACCTGCATCTAACAGCTGCTGCTTGGTGATACTTCCTGGTGGAAAAAGGAGACCAAGTGTACGTTTTTCCCCACAGGGAATTTGCCTGGCGTGACCCCGAGCTGCCGGAGGTCATCCACATGCTGCAGCACCACTTCCCCTCGGTGCAGGCCAACGCCGCCGCTTACCTGCAGCACCTGTGCTACGGAGACAACCGGGTGAAGGTGGAGGTGAGGGGACAGGGACACGCTGCGCCGCTGTCTGCTGAGTAAAAATAGAAAAGCAGACGTCAGAGTCGTGACTCAGTCCCCAGGGGGAGGAAGGAGCTGCTGTCAGCCTTCACTCCTTTTAAAGGCAGATTTAAAATGCATGCAGATAAAACCACCTGAAGGAACTATTTGACGAGGCACATTTAAAACACTTCCCAGAATGCAAGGACAAGGACTTATTTCACACATGTAGGTGAAGATAAGATAAGATTTTTCGGACACAAGAGTATGGTAATAAAAGGCATATAAAAGCTTCAAAATCTCAAAGTAGAAAACCCAAGAACTCAAAAGTAAAATATACACATGTTTACAGTGAAAAATCAAAACTGTCAAATAAACCCTATAAAGAGCAAGATGTAAAAGTAGGATATTATTTAGTGATTAACTCCACTTTTGATTGATTTAATTCTCATTGCTACAAGTGTTGCTCATTTACTTTGCCTCATATCTCCAATTGTGTCTCTGCTCTCTTTCTTAGAGTTTATTCTAAGGGTTTCATATTTAGTTTTTCTCTGCTGCCAAACTCTGAGCCAAAGCGCCATCTGCTCCAATAAAACTTTAGGTAGCGTCGGTGCCAAATGTGCCGCCGCTCTCTCTCTGTGCTCCGCTTCCCGGGCAATAAATAACTCCAGCTCAACGGCAGGAGACGCTTCAGTGCCGTTTGGTCCGTTTGGTGATGAGCTTTCAATTATCCTTTGGAGCAACCTGGAAGCTCGCCTGCTAATTTTGCCAGAAACAAATGTTTTCTGTGGCAGATTGAACACAGAATCAGAGGTGGGGGGGTGGAGTCTGCTGCTCTCCTGAGACGCCTTTATTTAGAGATGACACAAGCACAGTTTCAAACATGCCACAGGGGGGATTTAGCATGGTGCAGCCCCACTTTTACTCCAAAATAAACACTGCAATTTACATCAACCATATCAATACTACTACTAGTTTACTGCTGTATACAAGTGTGGTGTATTTGAAACTTAATCACTGTATGTGTTATAATAAATAAACTGTATATTGTTGCACAATGTGCCATTTCTATTAGTATTATTGTCATCATGATTATTATTATTATTATTATTTTATTTCTAATTGTTACTATTATCTATATTTTTACTTCATTTTAACTCCATATTTAGATCACTACTTATGTTATAATATAATATATATATATATTTATTTATTTTTTGCACAGTTGCTTTAACATGTTATGATTTTAGAAATACTTTTATTCTATATTGAGTTTTTTAGCTTTTTTTTTAATTTAGATTTTAAGTGGAATAAATGTAAAAAAAAAAGAAATTCCCCCGGGATAAATGTAGTACTAATAAGTACTATATATTATTTCTGATTGTACTTCAATTCTTACTGTTTTGTGAAAGCTTTATCAAAGTGCTAAAATAGTTTGGTGTTTCTTTATATCCGTGATTTTTAGAGAGGTGACGTTGCTGTTGTTATTTTTTATTGACTCTGCATCACCACGATGAAAATAAATAAGTATGACTATTGGGGAATCTTATGTTGTGCGATGTTTGCGCCGGAGCCGCTTCATCCAGAAACAGCACTCCGGTTAGAGAGTTCACACGGAGACAAGGAATACAGTCTTTGGACTTTAATTAGCTTGAATGCTTCTTACAACAGCTATAGCAGTATTGAATCATGAATGAATGTAGAATGATTGCATCATTTATTCTTCACTGACGCACATGGTAAACAAACCGCTCGAGGACCCGCAGCTGCCCACTCCAGCTGTTCCCAAATGTGCCCGACCAAAAAACAGAAACGATACAACGCAGACTAAAGAAAACAAGGGGAATTTACAACAGCCGCCCCCAGAGTAGCATAGCTATTATGTAAAACAGAATAAATTCCCTAAGGTGTAGCGGAAGTCCGTGGATCAGCACCGTCGTCCGATAAAGCGGGTAGCTGCACAAGGCGTGCCACGGGTCGCAGGTACGTCCTGTCCCCGACTTGAACCTCAGCCGACCGGATGCATCCATCAGCACTGGCCTTCAGCTTGACGACCTTCCCCACTGGCCAGTGGGCACGTGGAAGCTGAGGATCAACTATCATCACGACAGTACCTTGAAGAAGACCATCAGTGTGCTGCCGCCACTTCTGGCGGACTTGAAGGGATGGCAAGTAGCTTCTGATGAACTGCACCCAGAAGTGGTCAACCATCATTTGACAATGACGACACCGCCTCTTGCTGAGAGTGTCTGTAGCGTATGATACTTGTTGAAGGGAGGCATCCCGCCGCCCCATCAGCAACATGCTTGGCGTCACAGGATCTGGATCTGCGAGGTCTGATGACACATAGCCTAAGGGTTTGGCATTTAAGATAACTTCCACCTCAACTAACAAGGTAAGGAGGACTTCTCCCTGGAGAGACTGAGTGCCGATCACCACTTGTAGAGCCTTCTAGACTGATTGTATCTCGCGCTCCCACGCACCACCAAAGTGGGGAGATGCTGGAGGGTTAAAGCGAAACTTGATCTGTTTCTTGGCAAGTTCCTCTTGCAGTTGGGGCATCATTCCAGCAAACGCCTCCTCAAGCTCCCTAGCTGCTCTCCGGAAGTTTGTCCCCTGATCTGAGAGAATCTCGAAGGGGGTGCCGCGCCGAGCGATGAATCGCCTCAAGGCCCAGAGGAAAGCATCTGCATCGATGCTATTAAGCAGATCTAGGTGGACACAGCGAGTGGTGAGACATTTAAAGATGACTCCCCACCGTTTTTCACTGCGCCGCCCTACCTTGACGGTATACAGCCCAAAACAGTCGACCCCAGTAGAGAAGAATGGAAGCTTGAGGAGCCGCAGACGGGCAGAAGGCAAGTCGGCCATAATCTGTATCACTGGCTTCCCTTTCCACTTCCTGCACCCAGTGCAAGTTCTCTGATGATGCTTGACAGCCTGTCTTCCACGCAAGACCCAGTACTGGCGCCTAGTCTCAGCAAAGACCCTGTCGGGCCCTGGATGGCCCGTCCATGTCCTCATTAAGGACATGGACGAGCGTCCATGTCCTTAATGAGGAGTTTTGTGACTACATGACTGGGATCGAGAACAATGGGGTGAATTTCCATATCACAGGAAGTCTCCAGGTGGCGAAATCTTCCACCGACGCGGATCAGACCCATTGCAGGATCAATCTCCGGTGAAAGCATACTGAGCTTACTACCAGGTTTTACTGGTTTTCCAGCCTTAAGACACTCAATCTCCTCTTGGAAGCATTCTGCTTGGCTGCGCTGCAACAGGAGGCTTTCAGCGTCACGCAGGTCAGACTGAGGCAAGGAAAGGTCAGTTGCCGCCCCGTGAAGTAACTGCTTGGTGGCCTCGACCAAGTCTGTCCATGTGTCAAACTGTATGACATCTGGTGTTGGAGGTACTGAACTGGTTCGTGTTAGGCCGCAGAAGGTAGCTCGTTTGTGCGCGTCAGTATCTTCGGGCTCTGTGGGGGCAGGAAGCGACGGCCATTGGTCAGACAGGCCACGTAGGAATATTGGACCTTGAATCCACCGATTTGGTGCCGCCAGCTCAGCTACTGTCTTGCCACGGGTGAGGTCATCGGCTGGATTATTGGCTGTGTCAACATACCGCCAGGTGTGCTCGGCTGTCAAATCCTGGATCTCAGATACCCTGGTTCCCACGAAGACTTTGAACCTACATGACTCTGACGTCAGCCAAGTCAGGACTGTGGTGAAATCAGTCCAAAGATAGGTCTGGGTGATGTTTAAGGTGAGCTCTCGATGGAGGAGAGAGGATAGCTGAGCTCCTGTCAACGCTGCACAGAGTTCCAACCTTGGCATCGACTGCTGGCGCTTCGGGGCTACCCTAGACCTTGCCATGACAAATGGCACCTGGACTTTGTCACCAACCTTCGTTGCGAGGTAAGCTACAGAACCATATGCCTGTTCGGAGGCGTTACAGAAGACGTGCAGAGTGTAATCGGTGGCTTCAGTTGCAGCCTCCAGTGGCGTGTAGGTTCGTGGCAGGGTGATGTCCGCCAGCCTGGGGAGTTCCCTCTCCCAGCTGGACCAAGCCTGAACAATATCAAGAGGAAGGTTTGGGTCGTCCCAGCTCCTCTTCTTCACCCACAACTTCTGAACAAGCACTTTGGCCCTCGTAGTGTAAGGAATAATGGCTCCGAGAGGGTCATATTGCCGGGCAGGCACCTTACATATGTGGCGCATAGTGGGAGTCGCGCTCTCCATTGGCCTTGACCGGTAACCAAGTCGATCAGTCGGACAGTGCCACATCAAGCCCAGAGCTGGCTCTTGAGGGTCAGCGCTCTTCTCTGCTAGCCATAGCTCTGTACTCTCTGACCTGGCAGTAGATGGTAGATGGGAGACGACAGCAGTGATATTGCTTGCCCACTGCCGTATCTCAAAACCCCCTAAGGCTAGACATTGACGCATCTTGTCCACAAGGAGCTTGGCAGACTCAGGTGTTGAAAGGCTCTGAAAACAATTGTCCACGTAGAACGACTGCTCCACTGACTGCAGTACATCCTCATTTCCCATTGCATGGTCTTTGACATGCTTTTGCAGCGCAAACGTTGCGCAGAAGGGGCTGCTTGTTGTGCCGAATGGCAAAACCTGCCATTGGTACACGTCAGGTTTCTCCTCCCTTTGCAGGTTTCTCCAGACAAACCTCAGCAGTGGCCGGTCCTCAGGCAGGAGACGAACCTGATGGAACATTGCTCGTATGTCCCCACTTATGGCGACAGCATACTGCCGGAACCGCAGGAGTACGCCGAGAAGGGATGGTCCAAGTGTTGGACCAGGAAGGAGTTGCTCATTAAGTGAGAGACCACGGTAAGTAAAGGAACAGTCGAAGACGATCCTTGCCATTGTGATGGACGAGGTGATGGGGAATGAACCAGGATTCGTGGGACTCATCCACTTCTTCTGTAGAAAGCTTAGTCACACACCCTCCATCGATGAGCTTTTGGATCTCTGCTTTGTGAACTTTGGCCTTAGCTGGATCTTTAATGAGTCTGCGCTCGGTGCTGCGAAGCATTGGCATAATTGCTTCAGGAGTGGCCATTAAGGGTGGAGCGTCCTTGACGCGGGGAAGAGGTGTAGCATACCTTAGTGTGTCGCCCACCTTCACCCTCTCAGTGCGGGTTTCCAGGATACTCACGGCTTCCTGGTCCAATCGGGACCGTACTACTAGCCTTTCACTCTTGAACGGGAGTACATCAAGCTGCCAGAGACGTTCAACATGTTGGTAGAGGTCATCTGCTGCTGGCTTGACAGATGTGAAGTAGCATGAAGTCATCTGAGATGTTAGCCCATCTGGACCCTGAAGTGCCCAGCCGAGTGCTGTATTTATGGCTGTGGGTCCACCTTTGGAACCGACCCTGACTGGCTCCGTTGCTGTGATCAAGTGGATGGAATCCGAGCCAATTAGCAGTAACGGCTGAACTTTACTAAAGTTCTTCAGTGGAAGCCCCTTCAGGTGGCGATAACGCTTCTGGAGTGCGGTCACAGGGTAGGACTGCTCTGATAAGGCTATCTGACCCGCTGTAAAGGCACTCGTAATGAGATGCTGCTTAAGAGGCTGTGTCAGAGAGGCCACATGGAAGTCAGGCTGGCCACATCTTGGCTGATGGTCTGCAGAAAGAGAGACTCAGCTTCCCCTTTGAGTCCCAGGTGTTGAACTGCAGCTGGCAGTATCATCGTTCGTTCAGCCCCATCGTCCAGGATCGCGTAGGTGTCAAGGGACTTGTGCCCATGGCTGATGATGACTCGCACCACCTTGAGGTAGACCTTCCCTCCTTGCTTGGAGTTGGAGAGCACAGCACGATTCTTTGGCGTGATGAGGTAGACGCGTGGACTTGGCTTAGTAACACAATGAAGAACTCTGAGGTGTATTTCCTGGCACTCACTGCATGCTTTCTTTAAGTTACAAGCTTCTTGCCGGTGGTTGGTGCGACCGCAGTTACGACTAGGTACTGGGACTGGCTGTCTAGGAGGCAGGGGAGCACTTGACCCGTACAGTGACTGCTGTGGTTGAACGGAATACTGGACTGGCAGGGCTGGTACAGGCTGCTGCATTAATGGACCAGGGGTGGAAGGCACTAGTTGATAGGCTGGCTGAGCCGATGGGCCAGGCTGCAGTTGGTACACCGATTTTAGATGACCCTGCTGGTACTGCGGCTGCTGGTACTGCGGTTGCTGGTACTGCGGCTGCTGGTACTGCGGCTGTTGGTACACATACTGTGCCAGAAGGACAGGCAGAGACTGATACGCTGTCTGCTGGGGGACATCAGACTATATATAAGGTGAAGGCGCTACAGACCAGTTGTGTGGCACGTAGGAAGATTGCTGAGGCATAACCACTGGATGTTGGGCCACTGGCTGTTGTGTAGCTGGTAGCTGGTGAGCCGGGTACAGCGCTGGTGCGTACTGTGGTTGATATGGTGGTTGGACAGGTGCAGCCGGAACATATTGGTTTGCTGCGGATGTCGTCATAAACTGATATGGGATTTGTGTTGCCGCCTGCATGCTGCCATACATGGTTGCCACAGGAGGAGGTACAGGCTGGTATGGCTGGTGAGCAGGCTGGTACCCTGTAGTTGTCAGCAGTTGTTGCCCAACGTGACCGGCTGCCTGCATCCCTTGGACGATAGGTGACGACATGACCGTGCTTCTAGCCAGAAGTGCTGTTGTCTTAGAAACAGCTCCCAACAACCGTGCAGATGTGACTGTTGGTGGTAGAGATTGAGTCAATATACTTCTCTCCTGATTCTGACTCGGCATGAAGGCTGTAAGGGCTTGAGACTGGAATGTCGCTGTAGTCGTGCACAGTAATGTTGTCGTTGGCAGCTTATCCTGATGATTGGTGGATAACGGCTGCTGCTGTAAGGTGCGGTTATCTGCTTGTGAGTCCAACCAGTGTGAGTGGGTTGGAGGTGGATGTGACGAGAGGGGGCCAGATCCGTTCTCACTGAGGCTATATTCTGACGATTGGTTACTGTAGCAGCTCTGCTCTGAGGGAGATGGCAGTCGAGGCCTCACACACATATTCTGCAGGTCAGGCATGCTGCTAGCATAAGGTGCCATGTCCCACAAATGTGCCTTATTTGCTGCTCCTGGCAAGGAGTAAGAGGGAGGGCGTCCAATTGCAGTGTGTAGCATGGTCACTCTCAGCTGCTAACCCGGTTTGCAGGCTAAGTGACCGCAGCTGACGCGCACTGTCATATTGGAGGGGAGTAGGATTAGGCAAGAGAGACTGTGGTAAACTGACCTTATAGCCTTGCAGGTGTGTTCGAAGCTGTCGCTGTCTTCCTCCATGAGCTCCAATCGTAGCTGTTGCTGTTTCCTGTACATCCATGGCGCTGTCGTGGGTGAAGCTATCCGGCTCGAAGGACCAATATTGGGGAATCTTATGTTGTGCGATGTTTGCGCCGGAGCCGCTTCATCCAGAAACAGCACTCCGGTTAGAGAGTTCACACGGAGACAAGGAATACAGTCTTTGGACTTTAATTAGCTTGAATGCTTCTTACAACAGCTATAGCAGTATTGAATCATGAATGAATGTAGAATGATTGCATCATTTATTCTTCACTGATGCACATGGTAAACAAACCGCTCGAGGACACAAGTGCCCGCAGCTGCCCACTCCAGCTGTCCCCAAATGTGCCCGACCAAAAAACACAAACGATACAACGCAGACTAAAGAAAACAAGGGGAATTTACAACAATGACACTTCTACATCCCTGCAGCAAGGCAGAACACACTCCCAGCTGCTCTTAATTTGCTTAATGAATCCGTGTTGTTGATTGTACTTTGTGTATAACTCCTCTCTCTGACTGCAGGTGTGTCAGATGGGGGGGATCCAGCACCTGGTGGACCTGCTGGATCACAAGCTGACGGAGGTCCAGAAGAGCTCCTGCGGGGCTCTGAGGAACCTGGTGTACGGGAAGGCCACGGACAACAACAAGGTGGCGCTGAGGAACTGCGGGGGGGGTGCCTGCCCTGCTGCGCCTCCTCAGGAAGACCACCGACAACGAGGTCCGCGAACTCGTCACTGGTACGTCCAGATGTGATCTGAAGGGATTTCTCGTGCACTGACACAATGTTTAGCTTCATTGGTTCTCACCAACATGCATTGTGGGTATCCTTGACAGGTTAGAAACATTTGCAAAGGAGATTTCTTTAAATATTATGAATTGCTAGCGATCTTCTTTTAATGCATTAGTGCCACACTTTTTCCCCTGAGGGCCATACAGTATAGTATAGTTATAAGTTAGCAAAATCAATCAAATGTAGGTAGATGATTCTTGATAATTGAGTATGCTTAAAGGTTTGATTATTTTCATTTTGTTACAAAAAATGCTGGTAACTAAGATTTGTCAGAAAATGTTTTCAACTTGAATTGACTGAATGTATTCAAACATTGGGCTTATTAACACATGAATACTGTGAAATATATTTCTACTTATAAAACGGCACAAGTCAAATCAAGCAATCTGATTGGTTCTTAGCCGTGATATAATGAGCGTATATCACGGGTAGAATTGTAGTTACTTTTCACAACAAGTCAGTATCCCTCCGCGTCTGAGAAAAGCCTACAACCGTTACAACTGTTACATTACGTCCGTTACGAAACTAACTAACTAACAAAGCTTAAGAAAAGCTTCGGCTTGCTTCCGCCATCAGCTGTTTTGCTAAATTAACCCACAAAAAAACTGAATTCAGCGTGTCAGAAAAAAAAGAAAGCAAAAGAACAATGCTATGAATGAAAATAGAAGTCATAATACTTGATACACTTCACTCAAGACACTTTGAGGCAGTTTAACCCTCTGATGTCTTATGTGAAATGCAATCTAAATGAGCAATGAACTGTATGCAAATGTTATTTTGATATACATATTAGAATATGTATATCAAAATAACATTTGCATGAACTGTATGCAAATGTTATTTTGATATACATATTAGAATATGTATATCAAAATAACATTTGCATACAGTTCATTGCTCATTTAGATTGCATTTCACATAAGACATCAGAGGGTTAAACTGCCTCAAAGTGTCTTGAGTGAAGTGTATCAAGTATTATGACTTCTATTTTCATTCATGTGTTTAACCAAGAAAGATGGTCATGTGTTTAACCAAGAAAGATGGATGAAAACGTGGAGTAAGGTGTATCTCTTCATAACATCTGAAAATGATGTCACCAGTGTTGGGTTTAGGTCTGTTATTCGTAAACGAATGAGCATCCATACTCACCATAACATTCAACATTGGAGCCCCGCTGTGGTGGTTGTGTGTGTGTGTGTGTGTGTGTGTGTGTGTGTGTGTGTGTGTGTGTGTGTGTGTGTGTGTGTGTGTGTGTGTGTGTGTGGTGTGTGGTGTGTGTGTGTGTGTGTGTGTGTGTGTGTGTGTGTGTGTGTGTGTGTGTGTGGTGTGTGTGTGTGTGTGTGTGTGTGTGTGTGTGTGTGTGTGTGTGTGTGTGTGTGTGTGTGTGTGTGTGTGTGTGTGTGTGTGTGTGTTTCTGTGTGTGGGCATTCGCCTGCTTGTCTGCTGGCCGGAGTGTGTGTGTGTGTGTTTCTGTGTGTGGGCATTCGCCTGCCTGTGCTGGCCGGAATGTGTGTGTCTGTGTCTGACTGGCTGGCAGCGTGTGAATGTGTGTGGGCTGTTTTGTGGGAGGTGAGAGCGACAGCGGCTCAAACACTCAGCGCTCGGTGTTGACGGAACAGATCTCGGCACAGTCATCGGGACAGATGCTAAGATAACGTGCTTTGGAAACAGCTCTGCAGCCGCACGCATGCACACACACACACACACACACACACACACACACACACACACACACACACACACACACACACACACACACACACACACACACACACACTGCTTAATATCAGCTGATACACACCTCATATTCTGTTGCAGGACAACCCTACATTAACTACTCTGTTGAATGTTACAAAGATATCAGTTACGAAAGTACGGTACTCTGATTTGTTTTAGAAGAAGAAAAAGAGGCTATTTGCTTTATTATAAAAACTATTTTCAGAAAAGTAGTTTTTTATACATAAGACCGAACATACATTACATCACAAGAAAGCAGATGTGGGAAGTAACTAAATACATTTACTCAAGTACTGTACTTAAGTACAATTTTGAGATATTTCTACTTTACTTGAGCATCTCTATTTATGCTACTTTGTACTCTACTAAAAACGTTACATTCAGACTAGCTGCACCTTTACCAGCTTTGAGAACACTTTCATGATCAATCATTATAAAACATAGCACATCTATTATTCTGAAATGGACCAATCTGCACAACGACTACTTTTACTGTCGCTACTTTAAGTACATTTAAGTACTTTTAATGTTTAATTGAACTATTCATATCTTAGACTGCACTGAAACTTTTATCCATGTATTTTTTCTTTTAATGTTTATTTTATTGGCTTTTATTTTTAATGACTGATTTTAAATGCCTTTTTCTTAATGTCTTTCATTTTTTGTAAAGCACTTTGAATTGCCTTGTGTTGAAAAGTGCTATATAAATAAACTTGCCTTGCCTTGCCTTACATTTAGATGATAATACTTTTCTACGAGTAACATTTTGAATGCAGGACTTTTAGTGTAACAGAGTATTCCTACACTCTGGTACTTTGTAATAGACTTACCACCATTCATAATTGTTCTCCTGTTTTCAGTGTTTGTGCTTACATCTTTAAACCTATCTCCCCCCCCCCAGGCGTGCTGTGGAACCTCTCCTCGTGTGACGCGGTGAAGATGACGATAATCCGGGACGCTCTGAGCACGCTCACCAACACAGTGGTGATCCCCCACTCGGGCTGGAGCAGCCTCTCCCACCGCGACGAACACAAAGTCAAGTTCCAGTCCTCGCTGCTGCTGCGCAACACCACCGGCTGCCTGAGGTGAGCAGCCAATCAAAGGCACTCCTGCTGAAGGTGTTGCACTACATTTATTCTATTGGTTTCAACACAGCTCAAGTCTTGTAGAAAAGAAACAAAAAAGATCCTCCATCGTGTTTACGCCTAGTTATCAGCACTGTTTCACATTTAAACAGCACATCCTATTCTCATTTAAAAGCCCCAACAGTAAACAAATCCTTTCTAAATTAAAATATATATTAGAGGATGACTTTTGGGTTTGTTGGTTGTCCACGCTGCCTGAATCACAGCTACATATTCTTTAAAGAGAGGCTCTGTTATCTGTTGTTGCAGGAATTCAATCGTGATTATCTTTGAACACAATGGTTTGTAGAAGCAAATAACAGCGACGTCATATCAGTTAAAAATCAAAGCCTAGGATAATGATTCATCAATTTTACACCCATAAAAAAGCAGCTGAATATAAAGCCACGCGGCTTTGGCTCATTAAAAGGCGTCCTTTAGAATAGAAAGCCATTGAAACCCAGATTATTCAGCAGCTTAACACATTGCATATTTCTTATTTTGCAATACCAAATACATTTGATAGATATTGCTCTGATATTTATCTTATTCAACCCTCAAACGACACACTTTGCAGCAACACAACCATCATGATCTTAAAGGTCCCATGTCATGGCCATTTCTACTGATCATAATTCCATTGTTGAGGTCTACTAGAATAGATTTACATTGTTCAATTTTCCAAACTCACATTGGTTTCACATACAGCATCTCTGTATAGTATGTGTCTTCACTCTCTGTCCTACACGGCTTGTTGGAGCTCCTGCCCCCCCCCCCCTGTGAGCCCAGTGGCCGTCTGCGAGACAGCGAGACAGCGAGACACAGCGAAACCCAGCCCGAAACCAGCCTGAACACACACACACACCCGCAGCCTGGTTGGGAGTTTGTGTGTGTGCTCACACACAAACTCTCCCAGCCTCGCCAAGTCCCGCCGTCTCAGGGAGGAGAAATCGGCGGAGCTGCAGCTGAGAAAAGATTGAGTGTGTGTGTGTGTGTGAGGAAGTCCGCGGATTGGTCCAAATGTAACGGCTCCGCGGACATAACGTAACGGCTCCACGGATTGGTCCATTTGGGTACGGGCACGTCACTGTACCCAGGAAGAAAAAGAGAAATGTCCAACGAGGCGTTCTGGGGCAGCACAGACAGGTCTTTTCTGTGTTAGAGTTTTACTCGCTATACAGGGTGTACTTTGAGGGTTTGTGACTCTGCAGACCGTTTACATGCAGAAAAAGCTTCATAACACACAAGGGGACGGGTGATAACCAGAAAAGCATGACATGGGACCTTTAATCCTCTAACGACCCACTTTGCAGCTACACAACCATCATGATTTTAACTAAGGATATTGTCAGCTTTAATAATTAATCTGCTATATGAATTATTTGGTCAATAAAATGTCGCAATAAATAGTGAGAAATGTTAAGGTGTGATATTCATCTCAAAGCAGCATAACTCCTAATTTAAGCTGCATTTTTTTTTGGACCTTTTTGCATAAAGAATGACTTTTAATTATCAAAATAGTTGGTGATTATTATCTGCATACAGTCCAGGCGCATTTCCCAACGTAATAACTTGCAAAAGGAATCCATAACCGTAACTTTAATTCAAACAACTCAAACAAAATGCATTTGAATGGCTCCATCACTCATCTGTGATTATGACTGCTCTCAAACGGCTGTTGATTTATTCCCTGTAACCGCTTTAAACTACATCTCTGCACACAAGAAGCCCCCAGCACTCTGTATCCAGGCTGTAGATTGATGGTATATAAATGCATTGTGGGAGTTCTGTGCAGTGTTCACTTGTCAGAGCTCCATTAGTGGCAGCTGAAGGCTCCTATTGGAGGATCAACTCGCTCCTTTACTTGTATCCGGGGAGAGTATAAGCCACCATGTGGGGGAATACACTCACTGCACAGTGAATTAATTAATGTGTGTGTGTGTGTGTGTGTGTGTGTGTGTGTGTGTGTGTGTGTGTGTGTGTGTGTGTGTGTGTGTGTGTGTGTGTGTGTGTGTGTGTGTGTGTGTGTGTGTGTGTGTGTGTGTGTGTGTGTGAGGAACCTGAGCTCAGCAGGGGAGGAGGCGAGGAGTCAGCTGCGTTGCTGTGAAGGTCTTGTGGACTCGCTGCTTCACGTCCTCAAAGCCTGCGTCAACACCTCCGACTACGACAGCAAGGTGCCGCAACACACACACACACACACACACACACACACACACACACACACACACACACACACACACACACACACACACACACACACACACACACACACACACACACACACACACACACACACTGTATCAATTTATTCCTGGGAGCTTTAACCTAACCCAGAATCAGAAACAGGTTTATCATCAGGTTGGTGTTTTGGTGCATACATAAAATAAAACAAAGATTAAAAACACAGATAGCAACTATTTGAAGAAAACTATAATAACATTAAAAAATAGCGGTATTTACATTGAAAATGTTTGTAATCCTAGAAATAGAATTGGAATAAAATATGTGCAGTAATGAAAGGCAAAATATTGAATACAGTATGTTATGTGCATTGATTAAATCTAACTATAATCTTTAATCTTAATCCTTAAATGTAAAAATGAACCTCGAAAAAGTGGTGTGAGTTTCCGAAATTAGGGAAATTGACATTTTTGCAGCAAAAGGGACCGTGCAGATAAAATGCAAAAAAGGAAAGCAGCGTATTAAATAAAGAGGCAAGCACGTAAAAAAAATGAAGCGTAGCAGCATTATCCCAATAGGTAAAGATATAAAAGTAGTGAACGATCAGCCAGTAATAAAATACAAACTGATAAGAAAAAGTAAAAATGGCACCTAAGCAGAGCTAGTTAACAGTTTGGGTTAATACACATTTTAGTCGTAGTATTTATAGTCATTTAAATTCGAGAAGAAGTATTTTAGTCATGGAACATCTGGATCCTACGTTTTTCAGAGAAACACTTCACAGGTTAGCAATTCAACCAAAAGTCAATGTCTTTGTACACGTACTAGTTATAGATGAACTGTTAACAGGACAGCGTAAGGACCATGTCATCATGTTTTCTGTATTAACTATAAAGCTGCTGACACTGTGTTTGTCAGATTGTGGAGAACAGCGTGTGCACCCTGAGGAACCTCTCGTACCGGCTGGAGGTGGAGATGCCGTCCTCCCGGCTGCTGGGGAACCAGGAGTTGGACACCCTGCTGGGCTTCTCCTCCCCGGGGAAGGAGCTGGACTACATCTGCTGGGGCAAGAGGAGGCGCGGGCGGAAGAGGGGGGGCTGGCCCGACGACAAGGTACACCCTCAGAGGGGAGGACGTCTACGTGACAAAATAAGATGGAAGTGCATAGTTTAAAACAATAAAAGTAAAACTATACACTGTCAATTAGAATAATTTATATTTTATAACAGAATCAAGTATATTATTTTTCTATACAGTATCTAATTTTACATTCTGTTTTAGCTGTTTCATTTATATGAATATATATTTCTTGCACACTATTTAATAACAACAATGTATTTGTAATGTTTATTGTATATTTAATGTTTCACTCTAGGAGATGTAGATCAGTTTAAATTAGATTTTAATTGAGAAATAGTTTTAGTGCATCACAAGTTAATTAAGTTAATCAAATAAATATAAACATAGAATATCAAGAGTAGAAGGATGTATATAAAGAAGACCCTATATAAAAATACAATGCCTCTGATTTGTTATTTAACATATTCTGTGTGTGTGTGTGTGTGTGTGTGTGTGTGTGTGTGTGTTGCAGTGGGATGGCGTGGGGCCCATCCCAGGCTTCTCTCAGCACCTGAGGGGGGCGGAGCAGCTGTGGCACCCCATGGTGGTGAAGCCGTACCTCAACCTGCTGGCGGAGAGCTCCAACCCCCCCCACGCTGGAGGGGGCCGCCGGGTCCCTGCAGAACCTCTCCGCCGGGAACTGGAAGGTGGAGCAGCTCTCTATTACAGCCGGAACACAGCACTATAAGTGAAGGGATCAAAGCAATGACACTGTGTGTGTGTGTGTGTGTGTGTGTGTGTGTGTGTGTGTGTGTGTGTGTGTGTGTCCAGTTCTCAGCCTACATCCGAGCGGCGGTGCGTAAAGAGAAAGGGCTGCCCATCCTGGTGGAGCTGCTAAGGATGGACAACGACCGGGTGGTGTGCTCCGTCGCCACCGCCCTCCGCAACATGGCGCTGGACAGCCGCAACAAGGAGCTCATAGGTGCACACACACACACACACACACATACACACACACACACACACACACACACACACACACACACACACACACACACACACACACACACACACACACACCCACATCAACATAACACTTCATCAACCCCTTATCAAAGCTACCCACCAGTATTTAAGGTAATTCAAATCAAATAAAAGCTGAAACATTAAGGACCTAATGCATTAATGATTAAGATTAATGTGTCACATAAAAAAAAAGAAACTCAAAAACAACAAGGAGATGAATTTGAATAAATTGCCCTTAATCAAATGATACTTAAATTAAGAATCAAACCTTAGAATAAACTGTCTATAAACCTGCAGTCAAAGTAATGACACTCTTTATCATAATTAGGTTGCCCTAACAATAGAATACTGATATAATAAATGACATAATGGAGACCAATGGTTGTGCCCCCCCCCCCAGGAAAGTACGCCATGCGGGACCTGGTGACGCGGCTGCCTGGAGGCGGACCCTCCAGGCTGTCGGACGAGACGGTGGCGTCGGTGTGCTGCACGCTGCACGAGGTCACCAGCCGCAACATGGAGAACGCCAAAGCTTTAGCCGACTGCGGAGGCATCGAGAAGCTGGTGGACATCAGCAAAGGGCGAGGGAAAGGGTAGCCAATCTCACGTTTAAATACTTTCTTTTAGAATACTGCAATATAATTTCCTTTTTAATGTCATGAGATGTGACAGCAGTGTTTTACCTGTGACGAGAATATGCAACGTATATAAATATACCTTTGATTTATTTCAGCTTTTAACTTTTCTAAATGATTCATTATTCTTTTGTTATACAAAGTCACTAGATTGTTTTTTCTTTTTTTGTTGTTGGTCATAATATGAAGCAACATCTGCTTTACCGAAAATGTAAAAATAATTTTGTTTTTATTTGTATTTAAATCTTTATTGACATACATGTACGTGGTGGTTACAACATACAAATCATGTAACAAAAGGCCAGCAAGACATTACAAAATAAAAATAAAATAAGAGTCTAGGGATATGTGTCTTCATTATTATATTCTTGAAGTGTATATTATATATATATATATATGTATATTATATTATATTCTTGAAGTGTAAATATATCTTTTTTTAAATAATTTAGTTTTTAAAAGACGTTTTTTTTTCGCTTTCCATTACTTTGAATTTTTTAATCTTTTATTTTAGAAAGCAACTTGATGTATTTTAGTGTTAGTTTAAAAGATATAAAAAACGCAGCTTCTTCTTGTGATAAATACATGCAGATCTATTTGATTAACTTTTATTTAATTGAGCTTTTTGTTTATATTTTCTTGTTCCTCAGATGTGTCAGCTTTATTGTAATTTTTCAGAATTATTTAGTGTTCTATTTAAACATATATCATGTCTCTTTCAGATCTCTCCAGAAAGGGGCATCCATCTTTTTTAATATATTATTTTCTGGCAATTTTTCTTATTTTACTGACAATGTTGAGATGTGTAAAATAACTTCTTGTGCTGCAGGTACTCCGTGAAGGTGGTGAAGGCAGCAGCTCAGGTGTTGAACACGCTGTGGCAGTACAGAGACCTGAGGACCCTCTACAAACAGGTCTGTCCACCCTTCCCTTACCCAGAATGCATGGCGAATTAGTAACTAGCGTACGAAAGATTTATGTTGTGTGTGCAGGACGGCTGGAACTACACCCACTTCGTCACTCCGGTCTCCACCCTGGAGCGAGACCGCTACCTGTCCCAGCCCACGCTGCCCACCAGCCCCATGCATATGTCCCCCATCATCCAATCAGGTGAGAGAATCAGTCAAACATTAAAGGAGTATCCTAAAGACGATTCAAGGCTTTTATTGTCATTCGTACATAGCTACAGTGTAGTTATAGTGATAAATAATTAGTTGCAAACAGGTGAATGTGATGGATGTTCTTAGTTCAGGTGTTTAACAGTCTTATGGCCTGTGGAATGAAACTGTCCCTGAGTCCCGTGGTGTTAGACCTGAAAGAAGTTAGAAATGTTGCATCTCAAAGTAAAATAAATGTTGTTTTTGTGTTTCTTCCTCAGGTGGTAGTGCAACATCCTCCCCCGCCATGCTCGGGATCAGAAGACACAGTTCCAACTATCAGAGAGCGCAGTCATCTATGCAACTCGACACGTATTACGGAGACAACAGTTTACACAAACGGCAGTACACAGGTCCGTCATGGTGGAGGGATCTATGCATGTTTCTGTTCAAACTTAAACACCAAATAATGACAGTTTAACATGTTGATGTGTTTCTCCTGATTCTTCCCCTTCAGGGTCAGAGAAGAAAACTCCATATTTCATCGGGACATACTCTTCCCAGTCAGGAGAGGATCTGAGACGTTCCCAAGTAGGACAATAACATTTTTTGCCCCATTGTATAAAATACCAAGCTGTGAGCAGGACATTAGATTCATGCAGTTATTCATTGATGTCATGTTTTAGGCAATAATGCAAACAATCACTGGTTCTAACTCCTTAAAATTAAATATACTCTTGTTTTATTAGTCTTACATAATATTAATACTGATATTTGTATTTTTTTGAACAAAAAATAAGCTGTTTCAAAAGTCAAAGTCAACTTTATTGTCAATCTTTCAGTTTGTGTGTACAGACAGAAAGATCGAAATACCGTTTCCCACAATCCCGAATACAAAAAATACAAATATATATCAAAATATGTATATACCTATATATACACAATCAACAGACACATTTATACATATGCACACATTAAGACATAAATAAAAAGCACAACAACCAATATATACAACATTACAGTCACTTCAGTATCTTTGGGATATTTCAAGACCTTAATTTACTTAAATTAAGAATATTACAGATTAATGATACAATTATTCAATTCAAGCATTTCTTCTTACAAAAAAGTACTTTTATAGTCATTTGATGCCAATAACTGCAATACAATTATTTAATTAAAAGTGTTGAACCTTGTTAGAAACACCTTCTGTGATACGCTCATTTGATTGAAATATTTACGTTGCCTTTATTAATGTTGGTGTGACTTTCCAAGTGATACACTCCCCTCTCTCCCTCTCGCAGCACACAGAGCCATTTTACGACGAGCCCGACAGGAAGAACTACAACAGCTACAGAATGTACCTGTCGTCCCCTCAAGACTACGGAGAGGAGCCGTACGACGAGGAGGAGCCGGGGCCCCTGACCCCCACCCCCCCCGACGGCTACGCTAGCCAGGCGCTCCAGTTCAAAGCCAACACCAACTACGTGGACTTCTACTCCACCACGCGGAGGCCTTCCAACCGGGCCAACAAGTTCACCGGCTCCCCCGACTCCTGGGTGTAGAAACGAAAGGACCCAGAGTACGAGGAGATTCTGTTTCTGTGATTGTTTTTGTGTGGGGAGTGCAAGGTGGAGGATGCATGTGAATCTGTGTTGACCTGTGCTCAACAACAGGGCTCGGTTTGCTACAGTTACACCATGTGCACAATAATGCAGATGAGCTATTCCTTTAATTGTTCTTTCTTTACATTTAAAGCCAATGTAACAAGTGTTTTGAGATCGTATCAGTTTATTGCACTTAATTTAGTCCCTATAGATGAAAGCTTAAAGGTGGGGTAGGTAATTTTGGAGAAACCAGCTGGAGTGCGCTAGAATTAGAAAATACACAACTGACACAAAAATCTGCCACTTCCTTCAGACTTCCTCACAGAGCCCCTCCTCCAACACACACGAACGCACACATGACCAATGAGGGCACGAGATAAGTTTGTGCACGAGATGGAAGGCTGACAGGCAGGTAGGCCATCCAGTTACTTTATTTTTACAGCGCCACGGCTTCCACAGATGAAATGTTTTAATGTATTTATTGTCAAAGCATTTCATGTATTCATTGCTATCGGGATGTTAAGAGCATTCCATTGAATATAACAAAAAGTGTTTCTGAAATAAACTACATACCCCACCTTTAATGAAATGTAATGAGAAATGCTTTAGTTATAACTAGACACTTTTTGATGACATGTCAAAACTACAGTGAATCTACTGGACAGAGCCAAGGAGACTTAAATAGCGTAATGCAACTAAGTGTAAAGCAATTTCCTTCAAGCTATTTTTGCACTTCCCTTTGAACCGACTGTTTTCTATTTACAATTGCACCTTAAAAAAAAAATAGATAGCTTTATTTGATTATACTGAATTTAATATTGGATATTAGTGCTGATTTCTGCCGTAATATCCATTATTAAATTATAAACATTTTTGCTAATATTCAAATAAAGCTATCTTTTTTTGTAGCTCCTGGTCAAGCTAGTATTTTTTTATATATATATTTATTTGCTAGTGCAAATGTAAATAAAAAAAACAGTTGGTTCAAAGGGAAGCGCAAAAATAGCTTGCTTTACGCTATTTAAGTCTCCTTGGCTCTGTCCAGTTGATTCACTGTCGTTTTGACTTGTCATCAAAACGTGTCAGTTATAACTAGAGCTCTTGTACTTTAATTTTTTTCGTGAACTTTTCATTACGTTTTTATCTATGGACTACATTAAGTGCAATAAACTATGACAATACGATCTCAAAACACTTTGAAGGAAAGAAGTTAAAACAATTAAAGGAATAGTTAACGTTTATCTGCATTATCAGTCAAAAGGTGCTATTCGAGAAAAACCCAGCCCTCACTTTGTTGTTTACCAGAGTGTTTGTTAAAGTCAACTGATTTCATTTTTCTCTGCGGTAAAAAATGTGCAGTTTGTTGGCTTCATAACATTAATAATCATGGTCACTGTTGGGAACCTTTAAAGACTCAGAGAACCGGGGTTACGTCTGTAACCTGGTGCTTTCTGTATGTTGGTGCAGTAATCTCATAAAGTATGTGAAATATGTGAAAATCTATTTGTACAGAAACAATGGTTTAACTGTCCCGTTACATTGTTGTGCTCAATATGTAGAACTTTATATGTGATTGTGTGGAGAAGATTTTTCTATTATTTATTGATTCTTTCTATTCATTTTATTGTGATCTGACCAAAATACCCCATCTGTCTGTTCTGTCTAAACTGATGATAATGTGCAATGTTACAGAGGGAATATATGGGAATAAAGATTATATCATGACAAGGTTATTTCAAAGTCTGTCAATTTATTTGGACAAAAAAAACAATGGTAAAAGTGAAATAGATATATATCTTTATTAGCTTTAATTGCATCAGTAGATAAGATGCCACAGTCAAACAAACAAAATGTCATCGTGATGAGTTCAATGCACGCTGCATACAAATGTCCAGTTGGTCCTCCCTGAGCATGCCTAACACAAGCTCTAATCCATGCAGTTACATTCAGTTATTCTCCAGCTCACTTTAAATGAGATACATGTGAAAATATGTAAAACGTTACCTAACAAAACGGCGTTACATAACGAGGTCACGTAAAGAAACGGTGTCACGTAACGTTACAGAGTGCGGGGATTCAATTAGTTTCAAATGTCTACTTCCTATTGGCCTTTTGTAAGGGATATTCATCAATCTGTCATTAACTCTGCGTACTAAGATCTCTGATTGTCTGATCAGGAGCTTACAAGACGCTTTGTCAAAAAAAATAAAGCTGGTTAATAAAGTGTCCCTGACAGAATCACTATAACTTTCTCACTTCATTCAATATCTCAGCGGGGGACAGACGTTTTAAAAGTAACTCTATTAGTATAGCTAGTAAGTGTTAGTGTATAAATACAACTTTTGGAGGGGGGAAATATTTGAACACACACTTTAACGAGCTGTGATTTTGCCTGTACAAAGTGGCTGTAATCAATTTCTTTATATAGCTTTAGCTGTCACCTTCAATGGCATCGACTGCTCAACAAAGACATGTTATTCTTAAAGGAACAGTTTGACCTTTTGGGAGATATTTGTATTTGCTATAATGAAAAGAGTGCCTAATATTGATTGAACACACTTCCAAAATGTCAAACTATTCCTCTAAATGAATAAATGCTGGCTAAAGATTCATTTAAAAGCCTAAATATCTTCCTGTTCCGCCTGGCTCTTTAAGCTTTGGAAAGCTGTACAAACTCACAATCATAAGGAAAATAGTGCAACCTGCTACACTTCTCAATCCTCCACAAAGGGCCTCGTTTAAATAGTTGTGATTAAGCAACAAAATGCACAATTATGATACAAATCTGTGATGAGGAAACAATTGTTTTTGATTGATCCTAAAAGATAAAGCAGGACTTCCTCTGGTACCTACATTCAGCAGATGAAACATGTTGACGTCAAATATCAGTATATACAGGAAGGATGTGGTGATGGCCTCCCATTGGTGCTCCAGCAGGAGGGGCGGGGCTTGTTTCCAGGTGAGGTGGTGGGCATGCTTCAGTCATTAGGGGTCTGTCTGCAGGAAGCACAATCATTTAAATAAAGTAAACCATTTTTGTATACCTGTCTTTTTAATACATCTTTATATCCATAAAAGCAAAGAGAAATGTATTTGTATACCAAATGTATACGTAAAAAACATGTTAAACTCTGTAAAACAGAGAACATCACTTTGATTAAAGCCTGATTGATATTTGTATTTCCATGTCCAACTGGAGGACAATAAAATAGATTAGAATTGTATTATTTACTTTATTATTATTAATTATTTCAACAGGAACATACGTTTAAATGTTTTTAAGAAAGAGTAAGGCAAGACAAGATTATATCCATAGCATATTTCAAAGCAATCTTATTGAAAGTGCTTTACATAAAACATTAAAATCATTAATGATGGGTCTCAGATATATAAAAAAGATGTCTATGATGTGTTTTGCTCAAAATACCAAACAGATCACCCATTCTAGCCATGCCTCCAAACCACAGCAAGGATTATTTCTGAAACAGTACGGAGCTCAAATGCTTTTTCTCTCACGGGTTTACCACAAATAGCATTTCCTGCTTTTTTACACATGCTCTCTCCAGTACAGGTTAGCTCTGTGTTAGCGACGCTTGCTAATGTAAACAAAGACCAAAACGTTGCGCATTGTTTCTGATAGCAACGTTTCTTATAGGGCCGTAGGTCCACATTTCCGATATTACGTCATATCGGACGCAAATCTGGATCAGCTCCGTTGTACCCCCGTCTTTAGAGATTTGGGTACGGAGGAAAAGAGAGAGGGTTTTGTTTTCTGACACTTGTGAGTTCCCTGACACACCGGGGACACATATTTATGTATAAAAGACATCAAAAAGTACATTTTGCACGATTGGAGCCCTTTAACACATTAAATTACATTTAAAAACAGTCAACAAAAAGTTTCCTGCGAGTTCCAGAATGAGTACTCACAGTGTTGGGTTGCAGTTGGCTTCAGTGGTTGTAGGTCCCTCCCACTCTGATGGAGCTGCTGATGGGGGAGGACAGAGGGTGATGGCCTGGTCTGATGGGCTTAGCTGAGGGACAGAGAAAGACATTCAGTAACATGTATATCAGGTGTTCTCCTCTATCAAAGTGGTGGGTGTGCCTCCGCTCACCGATCTGGGCGGAGAAGCCCCTCCTCGCCATGTTCTTGGCGCGCACCGCCTCCTTGATGCGGTCCACCTCCTGCTGGTAGCGCTTGCGGTCCCTCATGGAGCTCTCCTTAGCGTCCTTCAGGGCGTTTTCCAGAGCTTTGACGCGCTCCGCCGTGGCCCGCAGACGCTTCTCCAGTTTGGGCAGCTCGCAGCGCAGGTCTGCGTTGTCTCGGACCAGCTGAGGGGAAGAACACAATCAAGTTCTGCAGCACACATTTTAGGTACTTTCCATTTTGTATTACTGCTGTAGCCTAGTGAGATTGTTTACTGTAGAGTGTTGAGGAAACTTCTGTGTAGCTATGCAGTGGGAGTCACCGACTCAGGAAGGAGACACGATAGGAGCAGTAGCTTTGATGTCAAACACTGATGGTTTATTTGGAGTTACGGCCGGAGGATTCACATCACAAGTCCAAGAGCCAGAGGTTCTGACTTCACGGTAGAGTTGCCACGTCAATTCTGGAGAGCCTCTCTCTTGCCAGCCCATTTAACTGGTTTCGCAGAGAGTCATCAACATGTTTTGATAAGATAGCTTTAGATAGTTTGGGCACACTAAGTTACCAGCTTCCGCCACTTATGGCCTTGGATATGTCATGCCCTGGAGTCCTCAGACAACAGAGAAGGAAGTGTCCCAGTGTACCCACAATACAGACCATCTGTGACCCAGTATTGACCGGTCACAGAATGGGAACAATAACATTATTGGCTGAAGCAGCCTGTGTCCTTAAAGGAGGTAAACAGACGTCAAGGTTTGTCCTGTACGTCACATCTTGGCGTCTATGATAATTATTTCCCTAACATAGAGTACTCCATTTATTCTATATTTCTGTTATATTTAGATACTCCAGTCATATAGTAAGTCCTTTGATGTTGTGAATACTTTTTTTTCATGATATCGTATCTTATTGAATATTTGTTATATTTTTAACTGGTGTAAATGCTTGACGACATCATTTCCCATTTTGGGATAAATAAAGCATCTATCAATATCATTTCAGAGCGAAATGTTGTTATTTTTACTGACACTTAAAAGTGGTCAAGGTACGCAGAACCAAAATAATGTATCCTATATTTATACTTGTATACAGTATATTAACATAAAATACTTCACTTCTTCATACATTTGTACAGTTATCATGTGTAATGTATAGCTGCACCAATACAATAAAATCACTTTTTCTGCTTTTTAAACTGATAGTACATTTTGCCTTGTGTATTTATTTAAATAGGATCCTATGTCGGACTTGTACTTGTAATGAAGTATTTAAATGTTATTGCTACTTCTAATTACAGGGAAAGTGAGCAGAATTTAGCACCATTTAGCCTTTTGGTGACAGATAAGAATACTTTATCAGGTGATGCATGTGACTGTATATTCAATTTCTGCAAAATAAACAATAACACCTGCCTTTTCATTCCGTATTAAAACATGTTATATTATTCTCCTTTCTTGTACAGTTTACCTGCTTGTGGACCTTGGTGAGCTGCTCCAGGTTGTTCTCCAGGAAGGAGATCTTCTGTTTCTGGGCCACATTTCCAAGCCCCTCCTCACAGTCCAACTCTGCGCTCTGAGAAATAAAAACAGCACTCAGGTTAGATGTAAAAGTGCCAGAGAAAAGACACTGAACCTGAGGAAGGGGACGTACCTTCTTAACCCGCGTGGTGAGGTCCTGAACGAAGAGTTTTCGCAGGTTGTGGAGAGACTGAAGCTCTTTGGCCTGAGAGAGAGCAGAACGACAATTACTAAAATGGATGGAACTAGACACATCAATACAGAGTGGTGAATTCAACAATAAAGCTTTATTTATATAGCACTTGTCATACAACACATGCAGCTCAAAGTGCTTTACAAAATGACACATCACAAGTTAAAAATAAACAACAAGAAATTCCCCTCAGATTATTTGTTAAGAACTTTATGCAGCAAAATATAACGTTAACAGACACAAGGAGGTAAAATGTATGATAATACAAATAAAATAAATAATGGTTTCTCTCTGACAGATAACTGAATCGATGCAACAATATAACATTTAAAACCCAAGTGAACATATAGCTACAACAGAAATACAAATAACAAGATAATAGTAATGAAAATGCCATAATTCTAATAAAGCTTAAACGATTAAGAAATAAAAAAGACCAACGTAAAAAGAAATATTGCTATTGAAGCATGTTAGATTAATAAAATAAGTCCTATAAAATAAATAAAACAATATAAAGGTAGGTAAATAATAAAGACTAAAAGAACATTTAAAGTGGGGGGTTGCTAATAAAAAGCTAATCTAAAAAGACGTGTCTTTAGCTGGTGTTTAAAAGGTATTTTTAAGACTTTGAATATACTATATATATATATATATAAGAGTTGCAGATCAAATAGTTGAGAGAGATACAAAACTGTTTTATGCTCATTAGGAAGTAGTCAAAACCCTTTTTTAATGCGATATGACTTTTTGTGACTTTTTTTACAGGGTCATTGTAACTTTTTGGGACTACTGTATGACATAATATACATAATATATTTGTAATTACATTACTGTATATAAAAGGTTCACCATTGGCCTGTGGGCTGCACTATAATA